TATAATGATCAGGGACATACTGTCTAGCGGTGGCCACCAGTTTGGCAAAGGACTGCTCCCAGGCGTACATTTTGATGACTCGCATCCCCGATATAATCTCATTCATGAGCCGCAGTCGACTGTCCGTTAACGGAGCGGTCAGTTGCCTATTATTTCAACACAAAAAGACTAATGACTGCCCCAAACATACTGACCAGGGTGTCAAATATATCGACAATCATACCTGACTTTGGAGAAAAGTTTGCCCATAAATGCCTGAAACGGTACGAACAGCAGCAATAGGGCCACACCTATGAAGCAATGGTAACTGATCTCTGTATATATGATATATATGGCGATCACTGTCTGTACGGGCGCTACCAATAAATTGCAGACATAAGCTGTAAACTGTATTTTAAAAAAATTAGAAATCATTCATAAAATCCATTCACTACTAGCGCCACAAATATAGCCCATACTATACCGCATCAAAACGGTTGACATCATTAGACATTAGGTTCACAATCTGTCCCACTGTGGTCTTGCACAGTGATGCCCGGCTCAGTCTAAGCGACTATAAATTAACAAGCAACATTTATTAATACCAATGTTACTATCATTTTCACAAAAAATATATACCTTTTTATAAACGAGAGTACACGAGGAGACGCGTAATCGCATACCCATTTGCATGACTAAAAACTTGGCAGGGTGGTATAGCGATATGAGCAGGGCTGAACTAAAACATACGGCCCCGGCGGCCACGCACGCGTGTTCGAACGTGCGATTTTCTACCTTGCTAAAATATTCAATCACTATGCCCAGTAACAGGGGCTGACTTATACGTACAACACATTCCTAGTTACCATAAAAACGGTTTTAGCATTTTATGTAATAAAATTATTCATGTTTATTGAACAAGGTGGTTTTTAAATTGTAGACTTACCGCCAATATAAATAAAGTGAGGGGCAGTATATAGTATTTCCCGAATGCCATAACCAATGCCCTCCAGAATTTGGGCGACTTTTTTAGACGTTCATTATTCCAGTGCCTCAAATGTTGTGACAATTTAGTCGACCTCTAATCAACCCCTCCCTCCCATCCCGTCTCCCATATTATGATTGATTTATAAGACTTCATGAGTCGATACATACCTTTCCAGCTCCCGGACAATACGTTGCGACTCGTCGTGTCGGGAGCACCGGAACAGGTCGTCCACATCGAGACCATTCTTACGCCAACCCGTCATAAACACCGGGAATACCCATCTGTTTG